CCCGAGCGCAGGATGAGGCCGAGAGAGAGGCAAGGACTCGGACAGGTACAGGCACCTCGCCTCTCGCTCGAAAGATTAAAAACAATAGCAGCAGTAGCAGCAAGAAGGACGGCGGCGATGATAAATCCGCTCTCGAGTCGGTTGGAAAGCCAAGCCAGATGCTCCCTCCGCTCTTTCCCTCACGAAGTATTTTTCATCCAACTGAGGGGGGCCCCACGCGCCGCACTGCGCATGCCCGAAACGGACGCGCTCCCGCCCTCCGGTGATTATAGTACGCGAGCACGTCAGGCGCGCCCTCAACGCTCGGCTTTGTGACCATAGAGGTGCCGCGGCTAGAGCTTTCCGCATCCGGAGTTCTACTTCCGGCTCGTTTAAAAGGAGAAGGAAGACAACTCCTTCGGTTCACCCTTTTACCTACAGTCGCGGAGAGAGGGAGCGGCGCTCGTCGTAGGGATCAATGGAGGAATCTCATATTTTTTTTGGGGCGCGCAGCTGTGGTTGGGCAGCAGCTCCCGAGCAAACAGGGCTGGGGCAAAGATAAAACACAAACGGGAGGCCCCTGCGCTTCTACGCTCCTGTGAAACGTCTGTGGTTGTTTTGTTGTGTTTTTCGAGATTGTAAAAGGCATGCCAATGTAAAATGTAGGCTGGAGGGAGAGAGTATCTTCGAACAGCAGTGGAGTCCGGGAGGAAGCAGAAAGCAGCTTGGGATCTGCTGCCCTGGGTGCTTGATTTATTATTTATTTATTTATATTATTTATTAGTTAAGACTTAAGAGCTCACATTTCCTTCAATATGGAGCCCAAGGCAGCTTACAGAAATGACATGCATGTCTCTGTGTATGATATATCAAAAGGATATACGGATAAACTATAAAATCACCTATAGAGTTCCATGATGTGCAGAGTAAAATAGAAGAATAAAAAATAGTTTCACCAAACACATGGTGAATAAAAGGTGTGGTGGTGGGACTTTCCTTGTTCCTTAAAACTACCCACTGTGGGGGTTGTATTTCCCCAAAGGAAGGAGCCCCAGAGTCAGGAAACCACTACAGGAAATACCCTGTCATATGCCTCTGAACATTTTATATATTTGTTTTATTGTTTTAAAATTGTAAACTGCCTTGGCTGCCTTGGTAGAAAGGCAGTATATAAATCCAATAAACAAACAAAATAAAATAAACCCTATCATCCCTATTGGCCACACTGGCTGAGGGTGATGGGACCTGAGTGTTGACCTGAGAGTTCCAACATCTGGGTGGGAGCACTGCATTGGCTACTCAATATATAGAAAGGTGTTCTTGTAGGTATCGAGAATCCCAGATAGTTTAGGGCTTTACAGTGGTACCTCTAGTTACGAACATAATTCATTCTGGAGGTCCGTTCTTAACCTGAAACTTATTAACTAGAGGTGTGCTTTCGCTAATGGGGCCTCTTGCTGCCACTGTGCCGCTGGCACACAATTTCCATTCTCATCCTGGGGCAAAGTTCTCAACTCGAGGTAACTCTTCCTGGTTAGCGGAGTTTGTAACCTGAGGAGTTTGTAACTCGAGGTACCACTGTCTATGGCTTGTATCAGGAGTGAGGAACCTATGGCTCTACAAATGATGTTGGGAGTACAACTTGCATCAACTTTGGCCATTGTCCATATAGCCTGAGGGTTGGGTGTCCCAACAACAGCAGGAGAATCATAGGTACCCCACTCCTACACAAATAAAATTGCATATAGCTCAACAAGGGTTTCTGACTTTTAAAAAGAACAATGAATCTGCGCACACACACCCCTTGCCTGTGGGACTTGTTGTCTAAAGCCTCCATCCTGGAACTGAGCCTCATGACCACACCAGCAGCCTAATTTTTGTACTTTTTATGCTCTTTGTTTCTGCTGATGGACCTCTGGGCTTTAGCAAAAAAAAAAAAAAAAGTAAATCCCACATGCTTAAATGATGCCAACCCCTGCTGTAATTCTCTTTGAGTATTGCATATTTTCCCACAAAACAATTCCTAAAGTTGCAAAAAAGTTCAGTTTACTGAAATGCCCACACCCTGGCTCCTTCCCAAGCCAAGTCTCACACTCACGTTGCATACAGAAGCCTCATGCTCCACTGACTTGCATGGAGATGCACTGTTTTGCAAAAATAATACATTTTTGCACAAAGGAAAGAGCAGGGATTTCAATCTTTGCTGCTACTTTTTGTTGTTTGGGAACAGGGAGGCATCTGCTACCTAATCCCAGATACCATTAAAATATTGGATCTCCAAATAAATAGGGTCTGTTCAAATCAGAAATTCAAGGAGTGCCTCTTATCAAAGCATTTTGTACCTATGCCCAAATCTTGGGTTCTTCACTGTTTTCTGTGTATCTCTCACTTCCATCTCAGCAAAGTGAGAGATCTAAGGAACTAGAAGTGGAGGCCTGTGTGTTAATCTAGCCATCACGGATGCCTCTGAACTGGCTGCTAGGAAGCCTATAGTATTATTACTGTTTGTTCTAGGGTTGTACTGTACTTCCAAACACACTTTCAAGGACGTAATCTCCATTTTGCTCAGTGAAGCTTACTGCTGGCCCAAATCCAAATCAGACAGCTTGCAAAATGAACCTTTAAATTCTACATCAATGAATAAAAATGTATTCATGGCCTTACATGACCAGAGAACCAGAAAAGGGAGATCCGCAATGTACACTACACATTTTCTGAACCTGAAGCTCAGAATGAATATTTGCTGGGTAAGCTTGAAGTCTCTGAAGAACAGCAGCAAAAACTGCAAGCAGACCTTCAACAAATTATGAAGAGGGCAACTTCATAGCCCAGTGAATCTGGCAGCATGGATGAGCTGTAGGGTCAACTTTTGAATTAGCAAGAAATCTTAACTGAGTCTGAGGATGTACACCAATAGGCAAAATCTGCCACAGCTCTAAGAATGGCACAAACTGAAGAGGAGAGATGGTGAGTTTGAGTTAACATTAGGTACTCTGTTAGGTTGGCAAACGTTAAAAGCAAATTGACAGTGTCATAGAAAATTGATTATCTGTGATTCATTCTTGCAGCAAGAGCCATACAGTGGGGTAGCTGGCTGCGGCTATTGTCTAGTTTATAGTATATGCCTGATCCTAAGAGTTAAATTTAGTTCCGATATTGCCTACTACAGCAGATGATTTTTTATTTATTTATTGTACTTTTATTGCATTTTCTTTTGAATTCATATTCCGTTTGCTGCTTTGGGGGCCTCTGAGTTAAAAGGAAACATGTAAAAGAGGCATAAAAATAATGTAAATCTGCCTCTGGAAGCATGGCCAATGCTCAGGGATGATGAAGTTTGTATTCCAGCAGCATCTAGAATGCCAAAAGTTCCCTATATTTTTGCATTGTAGATTTTAAGTAAAAAACCACCTTATACAAAGCAGGCCAATAAAGATTGCAGTGGTGTAACTCTTACTGCAGTGGTACCTCAGGTTAAGTACTTAATTCGTTCCAGAGGTCCGTTCTTAACCTGAAACTGTTCTTAACCTGAAGCACCACTTTAGCTAATGGGGCCTCCTGCTGCCACTGCGCTGCCGGAGCACGATTTCTGTTCTCATCCTGAAGCAAAGTTCTTAACCCGAGGTACTATTTCTGGGTTAGCGGAGCCTGTAACCTGAAGCGTATGTAACCTGAGGCGTATGTAACCCGAGGTACCACTGTACTTTCATCTGTGGTGAGGTTTATCCAACACACATCCTCTTGAGTCTTTCACAAGAGCCACCCATCAATCAGGACTATGAGCAACTCGTAGTGCCCACCTGCTGCCTAAAGACAAAACTGAAAATGTTCTCTCCTTCCCCTGCTGAGCTTATCTTTGTGCCTTTAAAAAAAATACAGTACTTTGTTTCTAAAGTGAGAATTGCTCTTGTAGCAAGAGCATTCTCCTTCGCTTAGATAGGGAAGAGCTGTGTATGGGGTGGTTATTTAAGGTGTACCTGTAGGAATTGCACTCGCCCCATGCTCAGAAGTTATGACTTCACATCGCTCAGTGGTGACTGCAGGCACAAAGCCAAGCCCTGGCTCTGCATCTAGGTCCCTACACCCCGGGGTGAGGAAGGGATTACACAGCTTCTCCCAGCAGGATGGCAAATTGATGTTTCCAAGGCCTTACCTTACATAGTCTAAGTTGGAGACTCATAAAATCATGACCTAATTTCCACCCACCTGGAGCTCCCAGTCAAAGCTGCAATATTTTCCGGCCTGCTATTGATGTTCTGTCATGCTTTCTCTCTCCGCTTCCGCCCACCAATATAACTCAAGGATCCTGTGTAGATTGGCCTGCAGCAACACTGTCTAGTTCAGGCACGTCCAACAGGTAGATCGTGATCTACTGCTAGATGACCGGATGTCTGTGGAAGATCACTGGTAGATCCTGGCAGCTCTCCCCCCCAAAAAAGCTCAACAAATTTGATCAGAACCCTCAAAAAACGGGGCTAGATCACTGCCAGTTTTTAATTCTGAAAGTAGATCACAATCTCTTGGGAGTTGGCTACACCTGGTAGTTCAAGGGTAATAAACAGCCCTCCAGATATTGCTGTATGGACAACTCCCATCATCCCTGACCTTTGGCCTCACTGGCTGGGGCAGAGGGGAGCCCAATATCTGGAGGGTGGGTCGAATTCAATCTAAGCAAATTCAACCAATAAAAGATAGGCGCTATTCTGAGCATTTTCAATCAGGAAGAACACCTGCTGACTATACTTGTTTGGCAAGGGAGAGCTGGATTCTAATGCCTCTGCTAGGACAGACCTCTGCCTGAGAGCCAAGCAAGCCAGTGTTGGATGCAGAATCAGTACCAAGTTAAATTAACCAACTCGCCTGACTTGCACAAAAGAGCTTCCTTAGGGGTCAGAAAAATCTCAGCCAGAACCTCCAGCCGCAGCTCTTTCTCCTACATTCCTCTGGAAGGAAGAGCTGGGAAGATGGGACTGTACGACCAGTGGCCAGGGCCCAGAAGAAATTGCACCCCACTCATTTAAGCTGTATCTTCATGTAGATTTTAATTGCAACACAAACTGGGGAGCTAATCTTGGCAAAGTGTTAAGCTAGCCGTGGACGAGCTGATGCGCTCCGGGGTTTTTGAGACTACGACTGCCATCAGCCCCAGCCACTCATGCTGACAGGGGAAGATGGGAGCTGTGGCCCATAATACGCTGGCGTGTACCAGCTTGGCCCAGGCTGGCATAAGCAGATAAAAGTGTTCGCAATCCAGGCTAGTGTGCCAGCAACAGAATGGGCAGAAGACTCTGTTGTTGTTTTTAAAGTAAAGCTTTTAAAAAAAATAGCTTTCAGGCAAGAGCCGGTGCTACTCTCTCCTCTAGATCACAGGGTAGCACCACCATCTCACACTGGTTAATGACAGACAAGCAGGTTCCCCTACCCCACCCCCCGCTCATCTGAAAGAGCACAGGAGAAACTGACAGTGGAATGTTAAGGCCATTGCAACTGGGGAGGGCGGGGGGGGGGGCAAAATCCCACCCACCTAAAAACAAAAAAGGAGGTGGTGGTGACGACATTAAGGTGGGTTCCTGCTCAGCCACCATAACCAGGCCAGTGGGTTGAAATGGCCTTAGCATAGGCTACTAACGAAAAATAGGTTAGGGCAGGGGAAGAGAAGGATTAGAGCTTAGCAGTTATATCAGTATCAACTAGCTTATAATGATTAGTAAGGTTGGGGTAGCAAGGACACTTTCTCCACTTCTTTTTTTTGGGGGGGGTGAGCCTGAACTGTTTGACAGCATGGAGGAGGCACTAGAGAGTTAGATCTGTATTCAGAGAGGGAGAGATAGGGTGCCTGGCAACTAAAAGAGGCGTCAGTGTCTCTGCCCAAGCCCTGCTGACTTCCATCAGCCAGGAGGATCGGAGCCACAGGGGAAAACATATTTGGTCTGCGTAAATCAGCCACAGTGAGAAATCTCTCCTTTGAGCAGGAGACGCAACGAGGAAGGCTGCCCCTTGATCTGCCTCTGTCTAGAACGGGAGACTCAGAGAACCTTCCTTGCACACAGGAGCTCCCTATGCCTAGGCAGCAGCAAGGAAGAAACTTAAATATGGAAAACAGGGAGCGGGGAGAAACCCCTATCAGGCCCACGGCCCTCCGGAAAAGACAAGACAAGCCTTGCAACTTTAGAGATACAGCTGCCTCCCCAACAAATTGTGAGAGGGAGCCTGTGCTGGGAAGTTGAAACCTCACACCAAGGTATCAGTAATATTTTAAAAGGGGAAGGGAGGGGTTCTGTTAGTGTGTTGTTTTTCGTTTAGTCCCAAAGGGGAAGGGCAAATATATAGAACAGAGGATGGGAAGAGATGCAAGATCCTGGTCCCGCTACATACAGACATGCCCCCGCACTGGATTGTATCCCATCTGGGGAGCAGAAGGGGGTTTGTTGGGGCAGAGCCCTTCACAGCGTAGTCCAAATGCTATTGCACTCCGATTGGGGTGGCCCCCGCTCCAGGCCGAGAGCCGCAGCCAAAAAAGAGAGAGTCACAAATGAGCGAGGATGGGCCCCCTTTCGGCACCAGGCACATGGTGGGCAGCAGTGATGACTCTGCCCCCAGGCCGGCTACAAAGAGAACAGAAGAGTCCAGCGTCCCAACGCGGCTCTTGCAGGAGGAGGATCTGGTGGTGGGCGGTTGAGCCGCCTCCACCATCAGGCCAGGAACACCACAAAGATGATGAAGAAGACAATAAGGATGAGGAAGATTTTCACCATCAGCCACCGATTGGATGTGACAGACTGGAAATATTTCAGGATCTCCGTGTGGGCGCCTTCAACATTAAGCTGAGCATCTTCCACGTTGGCGTCAATTCTACAGGATTGGCAAAAAAAGGGGGGGGAAAGGGCAGGTGAAACCCTCAGGAGGAGCTGCCAGCTTGCTTCTTGCCTCTAGGGGTGGAGGAACAACCCTATGGAAACAAAATAAATTCCTTCCAGTAGCACCTTAGAGACCAACTAAGTTTGTTATTGGCATGAGCTTTCGTGTGCATGCACACTTCTTCAGATACACACACATGCACATGAAAGCCCAAACTTAGTTGGTCTCTAAGGTGCTACTGGAAGGAATTTATTTTGTTTCAACTATGGCAGACCAACACGGCTACCTACCTGTAACGAGACCTATGGAAACAGCAACACTAAGTTGCCTCCCAGGATTCTTACTGAAATAACATACAGTGCATTTTGCACGTATCAGACCAGTGTAACCCCTTTTGATTTGCAGCAGCTGGTCGGTGGCTGCAGTTGTCAAGTGATGAACCCAACATCTGTGAGTCGCCGCGCTAAGGGTCATCTCTGTCTGTTGTGGGTGGTTTGCCCTTGTGTACCAGCTGCTAAGAATCACAAGTGGGAAGGAGTGTTGCTGCTGCGCTCAGGCCCTGCTTGCCAAGGCGGGAACAGGAAGCTGGACTTGGTGGGCCTTTGGCAGTCAGGCTCTTCCCACAAGTCTTCCCCACAAGCCTCCTCCCAAACAACCCTTGTGCTGCAATCTGCTAGCTGCCTTAAGAGGAAGAGAGCTTTTCTCCCCTGCCCACTACCTCTGGATGGTCTCCTCTTGTTCTTTAACCATATGCGCCAACTGCTGGAATATGGAGCCCAGCTCCACGATAGTAGACTCGATGTTCTGCATGGTGTCTGCCCGGCTCTGGATGTACGTATCCTACAAAAGAGGAACGGGTGATGTGGGCAAGGGGTTTGGAACAGATGATCCTTAGGGTCCCTTCCAACTCTGCAATTCTATGATTGCCTGCTCTCTTTTCTGTACCACTGTTTCCAGGCAGATCTGTGGATCTGGTGTTTTTGGTGACAACTCCTATCATCCCTAACCGCTGGCTATGCTGACTGGGGCTAATGGGAACTCAAGTTAAACAACATCTGGAGGGCCACAGGCTCTCTATCCTTGCTTCACGCCTCTGTAAGTGCATTTAATATTTGATCCCTGGCTGGTTGGGATGTGTGTCTAGGACAGGGGTGGGAAACCTGTCAGGCTCTCCAGGAGGTGTTGGAAGTACAACTCTCATTACCACTAGCCATAATGACTGGGGAGGATGGGGATTGGAGTCCCAACAACAGCTTGCGGGCACCAGGCTCCCCATCCCTGTGTTAGTGTGATGTGAGAACCCAAAGCAGGGCTATGCAGGTAGCAGACAGCTCAATTCTGACAGGCTCCCCCCCAAGCCAATAGGCTACAATTAGCAAGGCTGCCAAAGGAGAGAGGGCAAAGCTGCTCAGAAGAAACAGGGAGTTCCACCAGGGACATGAATGTTCATGTGTGCTTTTGTTTGTAGACAGATGTTTCTTATCCTATAGCTCAGCCATGGGAAGCTAAAGAATGACAACACCCAAAATAAAGCCAGTCAGCCTCTCCCATTGCTCCACATCCCTTATTTCTAGTGCAAATGTCTGCAGGCCCCCCCACGCCCCCTGCCAAGGCACCTGCTCATTGATGAGTTGCAACTGCTGGCTGGCCCGGCTGTCCATGTCAATAGCCACGTCCCCCGAGTGCCGACGTTCGTCCTGAAGCATAGCAGAGCCACCTGTGGACATCAGCCAGCGAGGTCAGACTGCTTCCCCCACCTCATTTCAACCCCACCTTCCCCCCTTCAATAGGGTACCTGCAGCACCACTTTCCAGTTCCCTCTGGCAGCAGGGGACTCCCTGCTCCGACTCACCTAGATTGCTTGCGGCGAGGGGAATGGCGGAGACCGGGGGGCGGGAGAACTGTTCTCGCCGAGTCTTCTGCTGTTTAAGGTTCTGGGGAAGGAAGTTGGGAGGGTCAGGGCAAGCCAAGCAATCCAGGCACTCAGGCCGGTGGGTCTTAATGTGCACAAGTTAAAGTTTCCCTATCATCCCATTGCCCACACATCAATGCAATGCATAATATCACTAGCTCCTCCAGGTGTGGGGAAACATTGGCTCTCCAGACGTTGCTTGAACTACATCATCCATGGCCACTGGGGCTGATGGGAGTTGTACTTCAGCAACATCTGGAGGCCCAAAGGTTTCCCAAGCCTGCTTTACATCTAGTGATGGTGATCCATAAGATTGTACAATTTAAACAGACTTTTCACCACCTCTCATGGAAACTTGACACTGTTGTTTCCGCTTTTTTTAGCCCATTTTTCTCCAAACAAGAGGGATAACAATATAGTTAACAAAGGTTCAAATTTAGGTAGTCTCCATTTGCTTTTGCCTTTGATCAGGGTTGATAAGGCATTCATTTTATAATTGTGTTTATAGGGATGGGGTGGGTGAATAGTCAAGAGCTGTCTTACTTATGTTGTGTGAAGCAGCTAAAACAACGGAAGCTCACTTTAGCAAAGTTTGAGATTGGTGGCTTACAAGCAACTTACCTCTGTCCGCACCTCCAGAACAGACTTGAAATCGTTGGACATGGAGGCTAACTTGGACTAGAAAAGAAGGGAAGGGGAAGAAGAGTGAGGAAGGCAAAATCTGACCTTCCTGCCACCCTCTCTGACCAGAGAAAACCTATTCCCACATCCATACCCTGTCACTGCTGCTAATCGCATGCTAAGGAACGAACATTTTCTTTATGTCTAATACATATAAGACTACAACAGCCTTCCTCAACCTCGGGTGCTGGCTGGGGCTGATAGGAGCTGTGTTCCAAAACACCCAAAAGGCAAGCAGGGATGCATGAACAGTATACCTCCAAATTCTGCATCCAGAAAAAAAGATGAGTTCTGCAAGCTGAATAAATTATGCATATTATTTTCCAAGCTGTCATAATTTATTCTATTGCTTGTGAGTTGTGGGGGGGAATGAGCTATCTACAGTACCCACGTCCTGTTCTTTTGGGATGGAGGAAACCCTCTGGCTCTGAAGACATTTAAGGCCCGTAAACTTCTAGGCTTGCATTTTTCCAACCCTCTGCCTCAGGCCTGACCTGCAGTGACACCACCACGGTGTTGGAGTGAGTTTGCACGTGCCTCCCACTCTGGCTGCCTTTCGCCTTGACAAACTCTTGCAGCTGTGCGATCTGTTTGTTCAGGCTGTTGATGTCCTGTTGAGAGAGAGAGAAAGAGGAACTGCCTGAAGAGGCAACACGAGGTTGCCAAGAGGCGCTAAATCAGGAGACTGCCCCTTTAAGAGAGCTTGGAGGAGGAGGAGGAGGCGGCAACCAGCAAGCCTGAAGCACCACAGTGGTGCCTCCTACGTTCTCTGGCACTTGCTTGGCTTTCCTTCCCCGTCCAATGGACATTCCAAGTGATGCAACGGAATGAAAAGCGAAGGCAGCCAAAGGAGGAGCAGGACAGAGGAGGCCCTCTAGCTCACCTGCTTGATGATGTAAGTCAGCTCCTCAATCTCCACCGCCTTGTCATCAAACAGAGATTTCCGCTTGGCCACTGAAGATACAGAAAAGTGTAGCACATTAACCCATTTTCAGTCTGGGGGCCACATTCCCCTCTGGGCAACCTTCCAGGGGCCACATGCCACATGGTGGGTGGGACCAGAAGCAAACACAGGCAGATCAATGTAACCTTTGTAGAGTGGGATAGTTTCTGCACACACACCTCCCTTTGCCTTTGGTTCAAGGAGGCAAGAGGTGTTATCAGAGCTAAAGGACACAGCCCAGGCAGAAACACTCAAGGTAGGTTTGAAGTAAGGCCCATAAGGGGAGAGATAGACCTGGGACAGTCCTGAGGGTTAGATCAGGAGGCCCTGAGGCTCCCCGCCTTCTATATTAACTCCCATTCTCACCAACCAAGCCCGGCCCCTCTCCCTTCACTTGTGACTTCCACGTTATGGAAGTGGAAGCTTGTCATAGGACAAGCTAAGGTGCTGCAGTTGCTCTCAACCCAGCTCCCTGCCTTCGTCCAAGCACAGCATTCATGGTCAACCACTCCCCTGGCATCCCAACACCTCCCCAGCTTTTCATCGGCATCAAATGACAAGTCAAAACTCAGCCAGCAACTGCGTGATGTGGATCCATTTCCCCCACTCCCCACAGTAGGCTCCAGCTTCATCCACACTCCAAATACTCACGGATTGTTAGCTTCTCCAGCTTGGCAAAAGTGTTGCTGAGGTCCTTCCCAATCCGCCTGAGAATCACAAGGAGTTGAAATTAACCACAACGGATGCAGAACTCAACCGCCTCGCCTAATTTTTCATTTTATCATCAGATGTTCAAGTTACATGAAACTAACAAATCTTAAAACTGGAAGGGGCAAGGAGTTATTATGCACAGTGCTGGACCACCCCTGTGTGCTGGATTTTGACATTCCACATTTTCAAAAGGGTGGAAAAGTGGTAGTGGCTTCAGGCAGGTTATCACAGAGCTCTTGCAAGATCTCCCTGTTGCTTCTCCTCACTCCTCTGGAGCCACTGCCAGAAAAGCAAGGAGAAGCAGCTGCAGCTACTGGATTCCACAGCAAGATCTCATGGACCTCTCCATACTGCTTCTCCTCCAAAGCCCCCACGCATATCGCCTGCCCCCCACTGCTGCAAGAGAAGCAAGGAGAAGCGGCTGTGGCTTCCAAGTTCCGCTGAGATCTCACGGACCTCTTGCAAGGGCTAGGGAACCTCCAATCGTCTTCAACTGTTGGTCATAGCAGCTAGGGCTTATGGGAGCTGTAGTTCAGCAACACCTGGAGGGCCACAGATTCCCCAGCCCTCCTCCAAGCTTGTCCTCCATGTTTCCAACCGCTTACCAACTTATCCCCCACTCCCTGCTTCCAGTACCTGCCACCTCACTAGCCATGAGTGCTGGACCTTACTGGCTGTGGGGCTGGGCTCCCGACACTGTATAGGGAAAACCTATTTCTCTGGATCCCCCTGCAGTGCTACATTCTCATATGTCCCTGAAACGTCCCCATGAAGTGATGGGTTGATAAACTCACTTGGCCATGACAGTGAATTCGCTTCTTTGCCGAATGGCGTTCAGCACTGGCTTGTTTGGCTGAAGCCCATTCTGAGGGGGAGAAAAGAAAATGAAAGACAATTGAGACTGCGTTAAGAATATAAACAAAAATGTGAAAGAGTAACTCCTGGGTGCTTCTCTTTTTACTAGCCCAACTTCTCCCAGGTGGGAAAATTTCTACCTACACCTGTCAGAATACCAGCCACGCTTCGCTCCCTGTCTCCCAACAAACAACACAATGGCCCGGTACAAAAAGATGCAACTTTATTTTTGGGGGGTCTCCAGCATTTTTAGATGCCAACCTTATGTACCCAGGAAATTCCTGCAGTCTGTGGGAGAATCTCCTGTAAGTTCTAGAGATCTCAGAAGCCCACCCCACAGTAGCTCAGAGCAGGGCTTTTAGGGTGGCTGCCCGTGTTGGTGGAATGGCATTCCTTTCAGGATACAACAGATGCTCTGCTATCTGTACTTTCCAGAAACAATAGCAGACATTTTTGTTCCAACAGGCTTTCTCCACTGGAGAAATGGATCTATGCCACAAGTATCTTTTTTGGGGGGTATAGTTTCAGTTTTGTTTTAAATGTATCTGCTGGGTTTTGTGTTTTATCTGGTTATTTTGCTGGTTTTGTTATCCATTGCATTGACAATAAGTGTAGAATGCAATCATAAATTGATTATGGTGACGATAACATTAACAATAATCAACCTGCCACTTATGCTTATAAAATTATTTACAGTGGTACCTTGGTTCTCGAAGTTAATCCATTCTGGGAGTCCGTGCGACTCCCGAAACGGTACAAAAACTAAGGCACAGCTTCTGATTGGCTGCAGGAGATTCCTGCACTCAAGCGGAAGCCATGTCGGAAGTTCGGCTTCTGAAAAACAAACTGGAACACTTACTTCCGGGTTTGCAGTGTTCGGGAGCTGATTTGTTCAGAAGCCAAGCTGTTCAAGTACCAAGGTACCACTGTATATACTACATATTATTGCTGTATAAAGGCCAGTTATGCAAACAAAACATATATAAACATTGAATACACAACAAAACAATCCCTTTTAAAACATTACAATGTGAAACACTCATAATTAAAATACCCAGTAAAATAATCCCATTAACCTGTTACAAGCCTTCTCAATGAGGTGTACAAATTTAGCAATAAAACAGGTTTTTTAAAAAAATCACAATTACATAACATGACATTAAACACTAGAAAATGCATTGAGAGGAAAGTCTCCATTTGTGGCAATGGAAACTTCCTTCCTGGGACTTAATAGAAGCTTGGTGGGCAGGGGAGGCGCCCTTGGTGGATTTTCATCAGCACCAAGAAAGTTAGGGCAGTGTTTCCCAACCTTTTTTGGGCAAAGGCACACTTGTTTGATGAAAAAAATCTCGAGGCACACCACCATTACAGCCCCGTGACGTCAGCGCGCAGCGTCACGCCGGGAGGGACGCACGAAAGTGTAACTTTCAATTTTTTCCCTCCCCCTTGCCGGGGAACCTCCAAGCTTTAGGGGGGGGGGAGGAGGCAGCAAAGCGAGGGACTGAGGGACTCCTCCAACGACAAGGATTGGGGAAGAAGAGAAAGGGCTATTCCGCTCCAGTCACGGGAGGGGAATATGTACTGGCCCAACTGGTGTGCGGTCTTCGGAAAGTGGGGTGCGGGAAGGAAGCCTAGGCTCGGGGTCCACCGACCTCGGCGGAGAAAGGCAACAACCGGAGCCGATGACGAGCCGGCGCGTGCGTGCAGCGGCTGGCCTCAAGCTCGGGAAGCTGCGCGCGGCGATGTTGACGCGGGGCGCGCGAGAGCTTGGGGGCGGGGTGGGAGAGAGAGAGAGAGAAAGAGTTGGCAGCACCAGGCGCTGTTACTTATTGCGCTGCGGACGCTGCCAGCAACTGCGGTGGTTGTGCGGCGGCCGCCGCCGCAGGACGTCCTCGTCAGTCAGCTGAGCTGCCTGGCGGCGTAGGGAGCCGAGGGGCGGGGCTTCCTTTCTGAAGGAGCTGAGGGTGGGGGTCCTCCGGCGCCTTCGGCGAAACGGCGCCGGCCCAGAGCGCTTCTAGGAGGCTGCCTTTGTGCGCGACGTAAAGCCCTCTTTCCCTCCCTCCAGCCCCGTGTCACATGTGGAATAAATAAAAACTGTGGCTGCATTGTAGCTACATCCCGGCCTCGGATCCCTGCGGGATTTGCCTAATCCTTTGGAAGCCCCCTCCCCTCCCCGGCCCCCCATTGTTCTGTCGGGGTTCCCGCGCCCCCCTCTCGCCTGTCCCCCGGGCTTTGTTCTCGATTTGGAGAGGCAGCGAGGCTCAGCTCCGGCTCCGGGAGAGGGAGGCTGCCTTCCAGCCCGCCGTGCGCCCCGGGAGCCTGGACGGCGGGGACGGGAAGGAAGGCACTTTGGGGGGCGCGGGGCGCCGTCCCGCCGCCGCCTCTCCCAGCAGCCCGGCAGGTAGGGGAGGGCGCAGAGGGGCGCCCGGCGCGGAGCTGGGAGCCTCCGCGAGGCCCCGGCTCGACGGGGCGGGATAAAAAGGCGGCGCCGGCTCGCAGCGCCTCCCCGAGCGCCCTTTGCACTCCGACCGGCGGAAGCGGAGGCTACGCGGCTGCGGCCGCCCAGCCTGGCCGGGGATGGCGGGGCGCCAGGTACCGGCAGCCCTCGAGGGGAGGCGCCGGCGGCGTCCAGGGACCACGCCCGCCCGGCCCGGGAGGCGGTGCAGCGCCAGATGTTGCCACTGCTGGAGAGCCTCCGAGCGGCGGTGGCGTCGGCGGCCAGGCGCGCTGGGGGATGCGGGAGCCGAGGGGGCGCCCGCGGGGGAAGGGAAGGGGAACCCCCTCCTCTGCAGCGGGGCCCGAGGGCCTTGATCCAGATGGGCCGTGGCGCTCCAGCGTCTCCTCCGGTGGAGAGCGGGCGACCTCCGGTTGGGGGGCAGCAGGGGTGCCAAATGGATTAAAATATTGGGGGCGCCCAGGTAAGCCCCACTCCAGGATAGATGGATTTCTATCCTCCGGGGGTCCTCCGGCGCCTTCGGCGAAACGGCGCCGGCCCAGAGCGCTTCTAGGAGGCTGCCTTTGTGCGCGACGTAAAGCCCTCTTTCCCTCCCTCCAGCCCCGTGTCACATGTGGAAAAGGGGGCTGGATCCAGTGACGCAACTCGGAAAACTGTTAGGGAAGCCAGAGCAGGAAAGTGAGTGGGAGGCGGCGTCGCCGCTTTAACCCACGTTTCCTTTTTGAAAGAGAAACCAGTGTTTCCCAACCTTTTTTGGACTCGCTCGCGGCACACCAGGCAACATCTCGCGGCACACTAGTGTGCCGCGGAACACCGGTTGGGAAACACTGAGTTAGGGAAAGTGAAACTCCCCTTTCCTGGGATCCAGGCTGTGCTTCACTCACATTCAATCACTCTCACGCACGCACACAAATCATGCACATTAATTGCTGTTAATGTCTCATCTCACTTGGCCCTTAGTTAACATCAGGAACAGCGCATGTGACAGGCTCGGGGCATTCTCCACCCATTCCCATGCCTTGATTTACAGCTGTCTCTATAAGTCCCCCAACCTAGAGAGGTGTAATTGCAGGAGTTCTCCACACTGGCCGCAAGAGTTAGGTCTATCCAAATCCCCTTGCCTCCAACTCAGCCTTAAGTGGCACTTACCTGTCTGCTCTGCAAGGACTTGCAGGCAGAGAGAAATTCCTGGGTGCGATCTTGACACGACATGGTGTCCCACTGTGGAGGAGGTGGCGCAACTGGGCTTGGGGCAGGGGTGGCAGCGAGCGGGGGCAGAACTTGCGTCTGGGAAGGTCCCAGGTAAACGCCCTGCTCCGTGTTTCTAGAGCCGTGGCGTCTCCTCGTATTCATGGAGGCTCATAACCTGGTGCTGAGAGAGAGAGAGAGAGAGAGAGATGGTCATCAGCGCCCAGCAATGAAAACTTCAACCTTGCTCTCAAATTGCCCCAGACAGGCTTCCCCACCCCATTGTTAAAACACTTAAATCAACAAGGGGAATCTAAAAGTTGTTAGACTCAAATTCCCATGATCCAGGTAGCAGCTGAGTGGACAGGGATAATGGGAAGTGTAGTTCAACATCTGGAAAGCCACTAGTTCCACCACTGACTTAAAGCCTGCAACCCTTTCAAGTACGGTTTTTATTATTGCATTTATTAATTAATTTTATATCTCACCCTTCCTCCCAAAGGAGCACCAGTGACCAATACAATTATTTTTATGGGGGGGGGGAATCAATATATTAGAATAAAAATATTACACACACACACACTATTCCAAACATGAAAACCATAAAAAATATTATCTGCTTTTAGCAGTTACTGATTTAAATCTCCACCCCTCCCATCAAAAAATAAAAAACATTTTGCCAATCTTGAGAATTAATTTCAAAATTTCCCATATTGTTTTCAGCCAGGTTAAACTTCTCATCGGGTCACAAATAATTATATAAATACTAGGGGGGGGGAAATTCTTGGGAGGGCACACTGACTTTAAAATTAATTGTTCAGTGGGCTTTAACAGTCTGTTTGCTTGAGAAAGAACTATGTGATTAGCCAAGGAACGTGCAGTTTGACGTATGGGCAGCAGCTTGTTTCCAGTTCTCCCAGTTTTTCTTTTCCTTGGGCTCCTGTTAGAGCTTTTAAATCTCTGTAAAGGTATCTTATCGTGTGCAATCCCTTCTGTTTATAACCATTGGGCTGTATTTCTTTTCTTTTGATGTAAGAACAAGGGATGGTAACAAAAAGGAGCAATTGGGGAGATCAGAGAGTGACCATAATTTCAAAGTCAGAGATGTGCTACAGCCATGGAATTTAAAATAAATTGACAACAAATGTGAGAGGTCTGTTTCATCATTAGAATTACATTTCATGCATGGGCTGCGTCATAAATTTGGTGGAATGCTCCCCACCCCCGCCAATATGTCGATTTGTATATGTTGGCAGTCTTGCTTGCTTGGATGATTAAATTAAGAGATTCTAAAATCTTTCAAAAGCTGGCAGATCAGTACAGAAAGGAAGGACTTGAAATAACATTTTTAACTTAGATAAGATAATTATTTGTACAGTAGTGACCGTTCCCAACTATGTTGCCAGTTTGAGGGATCTAATTATATGTATTTGATGAAAGGCCTATTGTTCTTTTTCTTTAACTGTTTCCAACTTTTTGTAATCATTACTCCAAGATACTTTATTTGCTTTTAGCACAATTTAATTTTGGATTGGTTAAGGCGCAATTTATCCAGTTGTGCGATATTGAAAGGCAACATCTCTGACTTTTTGCAGATGGATCCCATTCCCGAGATTTCACCTTAACAAAAAATCTTTGAGAACATTTGGTAAGGATATATTTGGTTTTTCTAACCCTGATGTCATCTGCAAATAGGTTAAGCTTTTGTTCCACTCCTTCCACTGATACTCCCTTAATCAAATCATCTCCCCTAACTTTGGTAGCCAAAGGGTCCAGGGATATGGCAAAAAGCAGGGGTGGCAAAAGGGTACCACTCTGCATACTGAATCTTGGGGGGTCCTGTCCATTAAGTCTGATAGTTCTCTGAGAATTCTCAAACAGGTTTTTCAAAACAGTTACAAATATTGTGGGAAATTACAACTTTTCTAATAACGGGTATAGTATTAATTAATTAATTAATTAATTAATTCCGTATACTGCCCTATACCCATAGATTTCAGGGCGGTCCACAACACAAAATGACAATATAGAAAATGCAAAGCACATAATAAAATAAGAACGAAAACAAACAAATAATCCCCCCTCTCACAACACACTTAAAAAGGGCATCATGTGTAAGTCTGCCCAAGGCTGACTTCGAGCAACTAGTTTCACAGAGTCTGGTGCATAAAGGTGTATAATGAAGTCGCCAGTCAAATCTTCCTGGGGAGAGTGTTCCACAGGTAGGGAGCCATTGCAGAAAAGGGCTGTTCACACAAAGAAGGGCCTCAAAGGATGATCTCAGGGTAGGTTTATATGGCGAGAGGCAGTCCTTGAGTTATTGTGGTCCTGAACCATTTAAGGCTCTGTCAAAACCAGCACTTTGAAATGGGACCAGAAGCTAACTGGTCCCCAGTGCAGTCAGACCAGGACTGGTGTAATGTGCTCAAACTGCCTTGCCCCAGTGAACAACCCAGTCACCGAATTCTGCACTAGCTGAAGTTTCTGAACCAAGCTGAATAAATCCTCCCAGCCCAATTTGTCAAATGCTTTACTAGAATGATACTATCAATGTTACTTTTATTGGTTCCCCCTGCCCCAGGTAGATTGCATTAATTAATATCCTAATAGGATCAGCTATATGCTGCTCCTTAACAAAGCCTACTTGATCCGTGTCTACAATTGTGGATAAGAGAAGTGGATGTCAACCTGTCTGCCAAAAGTTTCCTAAAAATCTTTGCGTCTTGATTAATTAGTACTATAGGTCAATACTAGTATACAAAAATGGCGTCTGTCTCAGGTTTCTGAAATTCAATCACCTACAATTGAGTGGCTGGGGAAACTCAGCCAGATGGGCGGGGTATAATAATAATTATTATTATTATTATTATTATTATTATTATACGATTCCTTCCAAGTGGCAGGTACTTGACGCCCTCAGAGCATAAAGTTGAAGAGCCTCCCCATTTTAGGATAATTGCTCCTTAAACATTTTGTAAAAAAATAGGAGGTGAAGCCATCTAATCCTGGGGTGTTTGCAGGTTTTAGTTTAAGGGGATTTTTCCTATTTCATTTTCTGCTGTAGATTCACATAGATAACTTCACTGATCTCTGTCCAGGGGTTTTAGATTTACTTCACTGAGGTAACTGCTAATTTGCATATTATATGTTACTTTATTTATATTTCATTGTAGAAGCCTTTACATTCCCCCCTGCCAACCTCTTCTTTATAAATGTGTTTTCCTCCCTGTCCTTGAATACACGTGATATATTTCTAGAATTTCTTATTAGTTCATAAACAAAGAGTTTTGATTTTTTGTCACAGAATTTGTAGTATTTTTGACTGATATAAAGGTAAAGGTACCCCTGCCCATACGGGCCAGTCTTGCCAGACTCTAGGGTTGTGCGCTCATCTCACTCTATAGGCCGGGAGCCAGCGCTGTCCGCAGACACTTCCGGGTCGCGTGGCCAGCGTGACAAGCTGCATCTGGCGAGCCAGAGCCGCACACGGAACGCCGTTCACCTTCCTGCTATAAAGCGGTCCCTATTTATCTACTTGCACCCAGGGGTGCTTTCGAACTGCTAGGTTGGCAGGCGCAGGGACCGAACGACGGGAGCGCACCCCGCCGCGGGGATTCGAACCGCCGACCATGCGATCGGCAAGTCCTAGGCGCTGAGGTTTTACCCACAGCGCCACCCGCGTCCCTTTGACTGATATATTGTGGCTTTTAAGAGCATAGCAGTGCTGGCCCAAAACTTATTCCTGTCTGTAAGGTAAAGGTAAAGGTACCCCTGCCCGTACGGGCCAGTCTTGACAGACTCTAGGGTTGTGCGCCCATCTCACTCAAGAGGCCGGGGGCCAGCGCTGTCCGCAGACACTTCCGGGTCACGTGGCCAGCGTGACATCGCTGCTCTGGCGAGCCAGAGCCGCACACGGAACGCCATTTACCTTCCCGCCAGTAAGCGGTCCCTATTTATCTACTTGCACCCGGGGGTGCTTTCGAACTGCTAGGTTGGCAGGCGCTGGGACCGAACAACGGGAGCGCACCCCGCCGTGAGTATTCGAACCACCGACCTTTCGATCGGCAAGCCCTAGGCGCTGAGGCTTTTACCCACAGCGCCACCCGCGTCCCACCATTCCTGTCTGTAGCAGAGGCTAAATGGCACCACAACCACTCCAGTAGGGCCAACACAAAAAGTATTTGCTGCACTGTTCAGATATCAATCCCCATCACTCCTGAAGCAGACCTCTTTGTCCTGCCACTTGGCTCCCAACACACACACACACCCTCGCTACCAGGATAAGGCTACCAATGGCTACCAACTCACTGTCAATGGCTACTATCTCTACTGTCAGAAGCAGTATGTGTCTAAATGCTAGTTGCTAGAAACCATCGATGGGGAGAGTGTTGTTTTATGCAGGTCCCCTTTGTAGGCTTCCCACTGGAGCATCTGAGTGGGCACATGCTGGACTAGACAGGTCATTTGGTCTGAGCCAGCAGCCAGGCTCCTTCTACGTTTTTATGTTAACTCAGATCTCCACCAGAACTAAGCTGAAAAAACAAAGGCACCCGGTGCCCTAGGACAAACTTCTCTAAACTACTAGCAACGGCTTCTTCCCCCACAGTGCTCAGTACGAATCCAAGAGATTCCTAAGTCCCATTGCTTTCCTTTTGGATTCGAAAAACTGCCACTCCTAATTCAGTGGGAGGAAATTTAGATTTCACAAAGGCCCAAGTAGTGATGCCAATTGGGCAGGTGAGAATCTGGCTGCTTTGTGGTTGTATGAACTAACACAGGGGTCAGCAACCTTTTTCAGCAGGGGGCCAGTCCACCATCCCTCAGACCATGTGGTGGGCTGGACTATTTTTTTTTTGGGGGGGGGGGAGAATTGAACAAATTCCTATGCCCCACAAATAACCCAGAGATGCATTTTAAATAAAAGCACACATTTTACTCATGCAAAAACACCAGGCAGGGCCCACAAATAACCCAGAGATACATTTTAAATAAAAGGACACATTCTACTCATGTAAAAACACGCTGATTCTCGGACCGTCTGTGGGCCGGATTGAGAAGGCGATTGGGCCACATCCAGCCCACGGGCCTTAGGTTGCCTACCGCTGAACTAACATCTACTCTCCCCACAAGCTCTGAATCGCTTAACAATAACAGAAGATGATCAGTCTTCCAAGCCACCACCTTGCTGGCACAAATAACAAAGTGTTTTGTGGCGATATAAGGAGACAGATTTATTGTAGCATAAGCTTTATCATTCACTATATTTATAAAAAGCATTTTTAGATCACTCTTCACCTTCAAAGATACCAGAGTGGTATCCAATCGGCAGGAATAAACGAATTGTGGACATACTGGCTGGGGCTGATGGGAGCTGGAATCCCCTGACCCTGCTTAACATAAACATACAATGCAGCTGCATTTGAGATACTGTGCAGAAACAATATAAATGAACAGGAAAAGGTGCAGAAAAGAATGACTACAATTATCGAAGGGCTGGAGCACTTTTCCTATAAGGAAAAGAGAAGTCAAGTGGGGCTTTCTTTTTTATAGAAAAAAAACCGTCTGGGAGAGGGGAGGAAATATTACAGCAACTTCTATTATTACAAATTGTCCAACAAAGAGCGGAGAAAGAGAAACTGTTTCCCCTTCTCAGAGTCAGCAGCTTTGGAACAGGCATGCTATTTCATGCAATACAATGCACAATTAACTTAATCAAACTTGCACTGTGGATATGGGCAGCTAGTAAAACTTGCGCCACTAAAAGTGGATACCCTGAAAAGACCAACAAATCAGAAACCTTTGTATACCTATAGTTAATTGTTTTGACTTTTTCCTGAATGTAGTATGTTTATTTATCCTATGACAAATAATAAAAAAATCAGTATTTTAAAAACTTATCAAACTTACTGTCTGAAGTTTTGGTGAAGTGCCTACTAGCTAGGACAGCTTTAAAAGAAAGCATTAGAAAGGGTTGTGGAAGAGGAAGAAACCTACTAACTGTCAAAAAGGAACTTCCTGTTCACACACAGTCTACCCAGGAAGCCAACAAATTACATCCAGCCTTGCAACACAGGGATTCTGTACCTCTCCTTCAATCAATCTTACCTGAAAATAAGCCTCACTGTATTCAATGGGGATTACACCCAGGGAAGGGCATACAGGACTGAGAAGAAGGAAGGCAGGGCCCCTACGGTAGTGTCGGGGGTTCAGAGGGGCTCGGAAACCCCAGTGCAAGTGTGGGACTCAGACCCCTTCAGGACCAAACTGTGAACAGCATTGGCTCAGAGTCTCCCAATATCCATCTCCAGCCTTCCCCTCTCCAGTAAAGGGGGGAAAGTCTGGGGTATATTTGGACGCTCGGCGACACAGCCTTGGCCACCCCTTACCCAGATAACCAGCTCCAACCCTCCTTTCCTTTCTTAAAGCCAGAAGCACTACTGTAGTTGCACTGCACCCTCCAAAGCTCAATTAATCAGTAGGGTAAAGGTGGCAGGAAGGAGAGTAGAGTGGGGCTCCCTCATCACCCTCACAAAGGGACATGGGTTGCTTGTCAGGGCGAGGGAAACTGTGGGCCGCCTGGGATGCTTCTGAAAACATAGATGAAGCTAAGCCAAAACAGAAAGTAAAACACAAAGTAACATAGGAAGCTGTGTCTCTCATAACACTAGAATTAGAAAATAGTCAAGGAAGCTGGATGTTAAAAGATTCAGGACAGGCAAAAGAACGTATTTCTTTATACAGTGCACTGTTAAACTATGGAATTCGCTCCCACAAGAGTCAGGGATGGCCACCAAGTTGGAAGGCTTTGAAAGAGGATTAGACAAATTCATGGCTGATAAGGCTATCAATGGTTACCGGGCATAATGGCTATGTTCTACCTCCAGTTGGAGGCAGGATTATTCTGAATATCAGTTGCTGGAAAACAGGACAGGGCTTACTAATTGTGCTGGAGAAGGAATTTCAGCAAGTGTATCCTCTAATGTATAAGGCAGCTTCTGGTTTAAATTAAATCTACAAGGAAAAAATGTATGAATATAAAAGCGCCCCGGAAAAGCTGCAATGTGAAATGATGGTTTCCTACAGTGTGAACAACCACAGTGAGCATTTGGGCTTGTGCACCCTGTTTCCCTCTTTTATACACATATTAAGAAAACCTTGGTTTGCTGAGTGATGGTTTTAGAACTTGCTAGGATTTGAGATTTCAGCTTCAGTTGCTGGAAAGCGCAGCAAGGGAGAGTGCTGTGCATTCAGATTGTGCTTGTGGACTTCCTAGAGACATCCGTTAAGCCACCATGAGAACAGGATGCTGGACTAGATGGACCAGTAGCCTGATCCAGCAGGATGTTCTTATGCCTTCTACAGAGCCAGGCCTATCAAACTCAGCATTGTTTACACTGACTGTCAGTGGGGGTCCAAAGTTTCACACAAGTGCTCTCTCCCAGCCCAACCTGGAGATGCTGGGAACTGGGACCTTCTGCACGCAAAGCAGATGCTCTACCACTGAGCTACGGCCCTTCCCCTCAAATTAAGATTCTAGTCCTCACGGTAAACCACTGGGCTATGGCCCTTTCTTGAGGGGCTGCCACATACATAGAATCATGGAATTGTAGAGTTGGGAGAGACTACAGGGGGTCATCTAGTCCAACCCCCTGCAATGCAGAAATTGCTCGAACCCACACGACCCTAATATTAAGAGTCTCATGTTCTCCTACCGACTGAGTTATCCGGGTGAGGTTGAAAGAAGGGAAATGTTTTCAACCACTATCTGTGGAAGAGGAAAGTGGAGAGTTGGAGGGGGGGGAGAGAGAGAGAGAGAGAGAGACCTCAATAATACCCAGGAAAGGAGGAGGGGGAAAGCTTTCGTTCCTGTCAGAAAGGGGAGGGTGAGGGCACACGAGAGGAAGGACTTGGACCAATCGGCTGGGGGAGGGATTTGGAGCAGGACACGAAAAGAGAAGGGTTTGGAGACCACAATCTGTGGGGAAGGGGGAAACATTTCACGGGGACACACAAAAGGGGGGGGAGGGCTCCGGCCGCTGTCTCTGAAAAAGGGGGGAACTCTTTGAAGCGGGAGGGGGGACCACACCGGGTGGGGGAACTTTTACGGAGGAGCACCGCGCTCGGCAAGAGTAGCGGGGGGGGGGCGACGGCGAAGCCTGAGGCATATATGAGAGGCGGACCCCCGACTCACCGGCTTCGCGGACCCGGACCCAGCTCTAGGCGCTGCCTCCCTCCTCAGTTCCGAACACCGGCCTCCGGATCGAACGACCAAACAAGCCGAAAGGAGGGCGGGCCGCCGACGTCACTGCCACGTACCACCTCGGCGGCCGACGTCACACGCACGACGCCGAGAGACGTCTGTTAGCAGCGCCTCCTCCGCTAGCGCGCGCGCGCGTGTACGTCCTCCCCGCCCCTCCAGCGACGCGGCTTCTTTTCGCTGACGTTGCGGTTGAGAGAGGCGGGGCTCTGTTGCTATGCGACAAAAGGCGGGCGCTTTCCCGGATCCTTGGCAAACGAGGAGGGAGGGGGGAGTGTAGAGTAGGGATTTTGTTGCTAGGCAACCAAGAGCCGGCGGGCCCTGCGTTCCAGAATAAAGGATTTACCTGGGAGTAAGCAGCAGCCACGAAATTAAAAGACGCCTGCTTCTTGGGAGAAGGGCAATGACAGGCCTAGACAGCATCTTGAGAAGTAGAGACGTCACCTTGCCAACAAAGGTCCGTATAGTTAAAGTCATGGTTTTCCCAGTAGTGATGTATGGAAGTGAGAGCTGGACCATAAAGAAGGCTGATCACCGAAGAATTGATGCTTTTGAATTCTGGTGTTGGAGGAGACTCTTGAGAGTCCCATGGACTGCAAGAAGATCAAACGCATCCATTCTTAAGGAAATCAGCCCTGAGTGCTCACTGGAAGGACAGATCCTGAAGCTGAGGCTCCAATACTTTGGCCACCTCATGAGAAGAGAAGACTCCCTGGAAAAGACCCTGATGTTGGGAAAGATGGAGGGCACAAGGAGAAGGGGACGACAGAGGACGAGATGGTTGGACAGTGTTCTCAAAGCTACCAGCATGAGTTTGACCAAACTGCGGGAGGCAGTGGAAGACAGGAGTGCCTGGCGTGCTCTGGTCCATGGGGTCACAAAGAGTCGGACACGACTAAACGACTAAACAACAACAACAAGCTGTAATTGAAACGGGTCGGGCTGGCTGCTGAGTAAATGTGCGTAGGAAGGGCCGTAACGTAAATCAACAAACTGAGGAGGAGGAGGAGGAAGAAGAAACGTGACAGGTAGAGATTCGGCTGGTGAGGCTTTTTCTAGCAGCTGCTCGCCAGGGTTTCAGGCAGTGGATGTTTCCAGCCCTATCTGGTAATGCCAGAGACTGAACAAAATAAAATAAAACAAAAAATCCTTCCAGTAGCATGGTATGAACTTTTGTGTGCACACGAAAGCTCATACCAATAACTAACTTAGTTGGTATCTTAAGGTGCTACTCGAAGGAATTATTTTATTTTTTAAAAATTTTGTTTCGACTACAGCAGACCAACCCGGCTACCTACCTGTAAAAAGAGACTGAACCTGAGACCTACATGCAAAGCAGATGTTCTGCCAGTCAACTACAGTCTGTCCCCCCAAAATCAAATGAAGTACTGCTAAAACACTACAATTGAGTACTACAAAGGTCATATTCTCCATTCTATCTTTGTGCATTGTTTAGTAAAGTTTAATGGAAGATAAGGCTGTCAATGGCTACTAGTCACAATGGCTATGCTCTTCCCCCACTGTCAGGGGCAGTAAGGCTTTTGAATCCCAGTTGCTGAAAACCACAGCAGCTCTTGTGCTTAGGACCTGCTTGCAGGTTTCCCACCGCCATCTAGTTGTTCATAGTGAACAGGCTGCTGGACTATATAAGTCATTGGCCTGATCCAGCGCACTCTTCTTGTGTTCTTATGTCAGTCAAATGAAATGTTACCTTGATATGCTCTAGCATCTGTTTCCTTTCTTTACCCTTTGTTTTTTTCCCACCCCACTGGCAATATTTCAGCAATAAGCTCCTTGGGGGCAGAGTATTTGTGTTACCAGGTAAAGTGCACAGTAAACCACAACATAATTTGAGTTTGGAACCTACAAATTGGGCACCAACTAACCCACCCACCCTCTGTTGTGGCTGCCAGATGGCACTTGGAAAGGAAAAAAAACCTTTTCTTTTTCTGAATATCCTAAACAAGCAGGTGTGAATGTAGCAAGCTCTGCGTGAATGTAGCAACTAAAAACCTACTTCCACACAAGCCAAGTACGTACAGAGATAGCGAACAGAGGTCTAACTTAGAGGAAGAGGAACTAAAATAAATCTTAACCAATCTTCAAAGGAAAGGAAGACCCTGAATATTTCTGTTCTGTCTGCTGGGACTTTATTTCTCTATCATGTGCAGAGTGGGGTGGCATCAACAGTTGGCACGCCTGGGGGCACGCTCAAAGACCCTGCTGGACCTCCTCACCCTCTGCACCATTGTTGGCTGCTTGGTCACCTTCCTCTTCTTGCATTTTAATGGTGTCGCAGGGCCAAAAGAACAGGGTGTCTAACCACCACCTACTCATGTACCTCTTGGTCTGGCCCAGAGAGGAGAAAATGGCATTGAGTGATGAGGAGCTGCTGCCCCTGCCTGCTTCCTCATTGGCATGCTGTGTCAAGCAATGGTGAGGCAAAGGAGTTGCAATGACAGTGGACCAAGGGTGGCTAATACCTTTCAGCCTGAGGGCGGCATTTAATTATGGGCAACCTTCCGAGGGCCATAGTTCAGTGGCAGGTGGGCCCAGAGGTAAAATGGATGGAGAAACAAATGTAAATTATACCTACCAACATGAGTTTGACCAAACTGCGGGAGGCAGTGGAAGACAGGAGTGCCTGGCGTGCTCTGGTCCATGGGGTCACGAAGAGTCGGACACGACTAAATGACTAAACAACAACAACATAGTAGGCTAGTCTCTACGCACAATCACATATCCCTCCCTCTCCTCCATCAGGGCTAGCAAGAGGCACGGCCAGATTTGGACACATTCTAATCTGGCAAAGGCATCTAGAGCCAGTGAAGGGGAGGGTTCTGAGGCCAGATAGAGAGGCCTGGAGGGCTACAATTGGCCCCCAGGTGTTTCCTCATCTCTAGCTCAGTGAGGCTTACAGAAGGTATCTCTTGTCCCTCAAACCTGCAGCTGGCCCCGATGTAGGAAATTTTAACTTTTTCTCTGGCCCATCCATCAAAACTTCTTATGGGAAGGGATATGAGGAATAAAAAGACAGGCTTTTACTTGCTGCATGGGATATTGCGCTGTGTTCATGGGTCAAAAGTCCAAGCCTTTCCCACATAATTCATTACGATCACTAAAAAAAACTGTCTGAATTCCTCACTTCCCATTTCTAGTCCTCTCCTTTCTCTTCCTGACCATTATCAAAATGGGTATCTGCTATCTCGGGCAGCCAAGAATTTCACAGAAAGCCATGCGTGATAGTTAAAGTTTATTCCCCTTAGCTGTAAGACTGCCTGTATTTTGCAGCAATGCTGCCATAGCCTGCTCTGTATTCTCTGTCCACATTCTCTCTCTCTCCTCAGTGAGTTTCCCCAAATTTCTCAGAGGTATTGGGTTGAGGTTCTTGATCGCTGTTCAGATGACTGGGCCCAGCCACTTCTCCGTTCATGCTCTTCAAGGAATCTCGCTTTGTGCTGAAGAGAGAAACACGTCTCCAGATCACGTGGATCTTTGTGCTTTCAGTCCGATGGCCCAGATCTTCGGTAGATGTCTTCTTCCCAGTTGCCCACCTTTCCCTTAAGCTATGTCTTCTCTTTTTTTTCACTGCAAACAAAAATTATAAGATCATGTCAATGGGGGGGGGGGCAGCAAAACCAGGGCAGCTTTAGCCTTTGGGTCTGCATAACCCTCTAAAGGGCCCTGTGCCAACACATGGCATAATTGGGCACCAGAGACCAATGCCACAATCACCAATTTTACTGGGTGGCGTTGGCTGACGCTGAAACTCTTGCTGTTCTGAGATAGCTTGCATGCTGCTGTGTCAGTGTGTTGAGAAGAAAAGCCCTGCTGGCTCAAGGCAAAGGCCCATCTAGTCCTCTATTCAGAGGAGCAATCTAGGTGCCTATAGAAAGCCCGCAAGCAGGCCCTGTGTGTGTTGGAAGAGGTCTGGTGCAATTAAGATGGATGCACTAGCAAGTTCAGGCATGGAGGCTCCAAGTTCCAGTTTCCAGCCATTGGGTTGTAATGGTAGCCATAGCTGGAGCAGACCTATTTAAATGAATAGATGTGATGAACTTCTATTCATTAATGCGTCTACTCTCAGTATAACTTGGTTAGATACAACTTGCTGGTCCATGGCATGCAATGAAATTTTTTGTAGGGGAACAGGGCCAGAGGCACCAGCTTGCAAGGGTGATGGGGGGGAGAGAGATGCACGTGTGAGCATCTTAAGCAGGTCAGAAACTTACTGGGCTTTGGGAAGGAGGTGCCAGGCCTCTGACGGATTATTGGAGCATTGCTGCCTCCGGGAGGGCTTTGGGAAGGTGGCAGGAGGGCTCTTGGACCCCGTCATTCTAATTTACCAGGAACATTTAGGGGACTAACCTAGTCCCCCTAGTCCACTGACTGCAAGCCACTGTTGCTGGTCACAATCCTGTCCTCTGAAGCAACTGAAAAGAGGTCTGCTTCATCTTCTGTGTAGCAGGCCTTCTGATATCTGAAGACCACTATCATGTCTACTTAAATATTTGCTTCTTCGGGGTGAACATACCATGCTCCTCTTCCTTGTTCCCCACAACAGTTTCTCATAGGACATGCTTTCCAGATCCTTCACCATCCCAGTTACCCTCTTCTGAACATGCTGCAGTTTATCATCATGCTTCTTAAAATGTGGTGCTCAGAACTACTCCACATATATTCCGACCAGCAGAGAATAGAGTGGAGCTATTACTCATTATCTGGTCAGAATGCTTCTATTTAAATAATCTCTCCCTCGTTACCTGCCCCAGCCAGTGTGGCCAGTGGGATGATGGGAGTTGTAGGATAGCAGCATCAGGAAGGTTCCCCACCCCTGTTCTGCAGGGCTATCAAGGTTTGGGATTATTTGCAGTTACCGGTAGCTAATCTAGCATCAGTCTACATTGTTGTAAAGCAATCCTATGCATATTCATCCAGAGGTTGTCCCATTTTGTTTAATTGGGTTTATTTGCAGATGCATGTGCAGAGGTTTGCAGCCTTAAAAATATATATATAACAGTTTCTCCTACATTGGTAAGAAGCTGAAAAGGCTATTTATATTAGGTTCTTATTTCACTATTTACTGATTAGTTTTTAAGGTTGTAAATTAGATTATCATGATCTTGTTTAGAAGCATATTCTCCTCAGGGTGGCCAGATGCACAAGGACAGGGCTTACTAATTGTGCCGGAGAAGGAATTTCAGCAAGTGTATCCTCTAATGTATAAGGCAGCTTCTGGTTTAAATTAAATCTACAAGGAAAAAATGTATGAATATATAAGCGCCCCGAAAAAGCTGCAATGTGAAATGATGGTTTCCTACAGTGTGAACAATCACAGTGAGCATTTGGGCTTGTGCATCCTGTTTCCCTCTTTTATACACATATTAAGAAAACCTTGGTTTGTTGAGTGATGGTTTTAGAACTTGCTAGGATTTGAGATTTCAGCTTGATCCTAGCTTGTTCTTACTAACCAGGGTCTGGACCTTGATCACACAACTGTGTTTTGTTTAAAAGTGAATGCATCACATCTCTGTGATGATGTGAAATAATAATAATAACAACAAATTATTATTATTATTATTATTATTATTATTATAACAATTATTATTATTATTATTATTATTATTAACATTATTATTATTATTATTATTATTATTATTATTACCCCCCCATCTGGCTGGGTTTCCCCAGCAACTCTGGGTGGCTCCCAACAGAATTAATGATAATTATTATTATTAATAATAATAATAATAATGGGGGAGCATGCTAACAGCTGGTTTACTGCAGTTGGAAACTGCATTTACTCGTTCCGCTTTATAGCAGGAATGGAAAACATGCACCTAACTCCTGTCAAGTTCCTCCCATCGGAATCCTCCCTCCTGTTGCCTGGGCCGATTCCTCCACAAGCTCCTCCCACTTGCATGCGCGAGCTCCGCCCCCTTCCCGAGGCCCCACCCTCTTCGAACCTCGCTTGCCCCTTAAGTTCCATCCGAGGGCTTGCCCGCCCACGTGCGCAGGGCGCTGGGGATTCCCCGAATTTTCCCAGCTCCGGTGAGGGGAAACCCCTCCACGTGATTCCCTCCTGCGATCGGGGATGCGGAGGAGGCGTCACCTTTTTCAGAGTCTGGAGCAGTCGTTTGGGGCGCGGGTGGTGCTGCTACTGAGCTTGTGTCTATCGCTTCGGAGGAAAGCACTTCATTGGATTCCACACAGCCCATCGCCCGCCGCGCGGCGCCTGGACGGGGCCCGTCCCGGCCCGCCAAAGGGGCCTGCCGCCGCCGCAGCCTTATTCCCTAGGCTGCTTTTGTGAGGTCACGCTTTCGCCTCGGCTCCAACTTTGGCGGAGGAAAGTTGCCTCGCCTCACTCTGCCCACCATCATCCACCGTCTTCCTTAAATATATATATATATATATATATTGTTCTTTTATATTATATCACTTGCATTTGTTATAAAATATATCGCCTTCCGATTCCTTCGTCACCAAGGTGGCTGCGATCCTAGCACGTTTCCCTAGGAGGAAGTAAACCCCATACAGATTGAATGAGACTTACTTCTGGTTTTATGTATTGATTTAAGCAATTTAGTATACTGCTTAACTACGGTAGTCTCTAAGTTTACAAATATAAGGTACAAAATATAAAAATACGATTGCGCTGCCAGGGGCATTAAAGCCGCATTTCCCCCTCAAAATCAAATCCCATTGCCTTGAGAAGGTAAGAGCAGCCTGGCTGCTGCATCAGGCCAAAGGATCAGGCTATCTTGTCCAACACCCTCTTCTCACAATGGCCAAACAGATGACACAATGGGCAGCCCCAAAGCAGGGCATGGGTGCAACAGCAAGTCTCCCTGCTTGTGATTCCCAGCATATTGCCTCCAAGAGAGGAAGGAGAGAATACATGGGCATCCTTTTTTCTCCTCCATAATTCCTCTCCAAGCCCCTGTAAATGGTGAGAGTTTTGTAATAGGGATAGTTTGCCGAATGACACAGAAAGCTTCCCAAACTGCATCCAAAAATGCAGATAGAGTAGTTGTGGGATATAAGAGATGTTGGGTGGAGAAATCAGCAAAGGCAGTTCTGCAGATTGCAGCATTAAATAATAATAGAATGATTATTACTACATTATATCCCACCAGTCCTCTGAGGAGCTCAAGATCACATACAGGTAATTTGTTTGTTTGTTTGTTTGTACATACCCTGCCCATCTGGCTGGGTTTTCTCAGCTACTCTGGGCGGCTTCCAACCGAATTAAAAACAATACAGTGTCAGACATTTAAAACTTCCCTAAACGGGGCCGCCTTCAGTTGTCTTTTAAAATTCAAATAGTTCTTTATTGCCTTGACATCTGCTGGGAGGGCATTCCACAGGGCAGGCGCCACTACTGAGAAGGCCCTCTGCCTGGTTCCCTGTAACCTCACTTCTCGCAGCGAGGGAACTGCCAGAAGGCCCTTGGTGCTTCCCCCACAACAGCCCTGTGAGATAGATTAAGCCAGGTGTGGGGAACCTTTGCCCTTCTAGTTGATGAACTACAACTCCCATCAGCCTTAGCTAGTATAGCCAATGGCGTAGTTCAGCAACACCGGGATGACTAAATGTTCCCCGTGCCCAGATTAGGCTGAGAGAGAGCAGCATGGTGACCAAGTTGGGATGTGAGCTCCAGTCTCCCAAGTCCTAGTCCAGCACTCTTGAACCACACACTGCACCACATACAATATATAGTATGAAAGCTGTGTTAGTCTGTTATGATTAAAAACCCAGTGTGGTACAGTGGTAAGAGTGTTGGACCAGGACCAGGAAATTTGTTGTTGTTGTTGTTGTTTAGTCGTTTAGTCGTGTCCGACTCTTCGTGACCCCATGGACCAGAGCACGCCAGGCACCTCTGTCCTCCACTACTTCCCGCAGTTTGGTCAGACTCATGCTGGTAACCTCGAAAACACTATCCAACCATCTCGTCCTCTGTCGCCCCCTTCTCCTTGTGCCCTCCATCTTTCCCAGCATCAGTGTCTTCTCCAGGGAGTCTTCTCTTCTCATGAGGTGGCCAAAGTACTGGAGCCTCAGCTTCAGGATCTGTCCTTCCAGTGAGCACTCAGGGCTGATTTCCTTAAGAATGGATACGTTTGATCTTCTTGCAGTCCATGGGACTCTCAAGAGTCTCCTCCAGCACCAGAATTCAAAAGCATCAATTCTTCGGCGATCAGCCTTCTTTATGGTCCAGCTCTCACTTCCCTACATCACTACTGGGAAAACCATGGCTTTAACTATACGGACCTTTGTTGGCAAGGCGATGTCTCTACTTCTCAAGATGCTGTCTAGGCCTGTCATTGCCCTTCTCCCAAGAAGCAGGCGTCTTTTAATTTCGTGACTGCTGTCACCATCTGCAGTGATCACGGAGCCCAAGAAAGTAAAATCTCTCACTGCCTCCATTTCTTCCCCTTCTATTTGCCAGGAGGTGATGGACCAGGAAATAGCAGGGTTCAAATCCCGACTCGGCCATGAAACTCAATGAGTTGGGCCACTCATTCTCATCTTAACTACTACCTCACAGGGTTGTTGTGGAGATTAAAAGAAAAGGGGAGAACCATGAATGGTTGGAGAAAACGGTGGGATATAAATGTAAGAACTAAAGAGAAATGTTTTGAGTAGAACCTTAAGTCTAACTTTTAATAAGCTTTTTTATGGGAATATGAATAAAAACTGATAAAAGTGTCTTTTGTGGTGGGGGGCATTCAAGGGCTTTCTTTATAGTAAAGGTAAAGGGACCCCTGACCATTAGGTCCAGTCGTGGCCGACTCTGGGGTTGCGGCGCTCATCTCGCTTTATTGGCCGAGGGAGCCGGTGTACAGCTTCCGGGTCATGTGGCCAGCATGACTAAGCCGCTTCTGGCGAACCAGAGCAGCACACAGAAACGCCGTTTACCTTCCTGCCCGAGCGGTACCTATTTATCTACTTGCACTTTGATGTGCTTTTGAACTGCTAGGTTGGCAGGAGCAGGGACCGAGCAACGGGAGCTCACCCCGTCACGGGGATTCGAACCGCCGACCTTCTGATCGGCAAGTCCTAGGCTCTGTGGTTTAACCCACAGCGCCACCCGTGTCCCTGTTTCTTTGTAGGAATAGCACATAAAAAAAAAGATGTGGAATAATATGAGCAGCTCTTGCTGGATCATATTAAAGGTATGTTTGATGAAGCAGGCTCTATCCCTTGAAAGATGATGTCATGACTTTGAGCCTTGAAGGTGCCACAGCAATCTACCGTAACTACAACAGACCAATGTGGCTATTTGGTGGGGTGGAAGGCAGGGAAACCTATCTTCTGGTGGAGCCAATGGCGGACAAACTCACCCCAACTGGCAGTAAAAAAGAAATTAGGCATCTGGTCCCTGGCTGAAGGCAGAGTGAGGTTGGTGGGGGAGTTCCCCATTTAGCCCTCATGGACCAATCTCCACAGTGGCTTCCCCTCAAGAATTACCAGTAGTGATATCCAGCTCACTCTTAATGCTCAGACCCAGTAAAATCACTAGCCGTTACTAACAAGTCCGTTGACTTAAACTGGTCTCTTCACAGTGGAGCTAAGGGGTTGTATTCAGTTATTTATGACAGTGGACAACCCAGAGGCTTATGGGAAGCTCATGAAGGATATAACCATGGGTAGGCAAACTAAGGACCGGGGGCTGGATCCAGCCCAATCGCCTTTTCAGTCCGGCCCGAGAATCAGCGTGTTTTTACATGAGTAGAATGTGTGCTTTTATTTAAAATGCATCTCTGGGTTATTTGTGGGGCATAGGAATTCGTTCATTCCCCCCCCCCCCAATATATTCCAGCCCCCCACAAGGTCTGAGGGACAGTGGACCGCCCCCCTGCTGAAAAACTTTGCTGACCCCTGGGTATAACTTTCCTCTGCTAATACACCTTTCCTGCATTTCAGAGGTTGACTACTGCTGGAAATGGAGTCTCCACTTTTGTTAGTGGGATTACTAGAGCTGACCTGCATGGATTTGCCCAATGGTATTGTAAGCCAGTAGTCGTGAGCCCCATGGCCACAGCGAAATTCCAAAAATTACCATGTTATATGAAGGAGTTTCATGGAGGACCCTGAGTTTCTAGAATTACTGTATTTTTCGTCCCATAGGACGCACCGGCCCATAGGACACACCTAGTTTTTTGGGGGGGAAATAAAGGAATTTCCCCCCCCTTTATTTCCCCCCCAAAACCAGGTCGGGGAATCCAAACCAGGTCGGGGAACAGCGGGATGGCGGCGCTGCGCCTCCCCGCTGTCCCCCGAGCTTGTGGGGCTGCCCGATGTCTGCCCGAAGCGCGGGGCGCTCTGCTTCAGCGCTCCCCGCACTCCGTGCAGCAGGCTATCCACAGCCTAGGGAGCCCTGCGGGAACTCCCGCGGGCTCCCCAGGCTTGCTAATAGCTTCCTGAAGCCTGGAGAGCGAGAGGGGTCGGTATGCACCGACCCCTCTCACTCTCCAAGCTTCAGCGAAAGCCTGCATTCGCCCCATAGGATGCACACAGATCTCCCCGTCATTTTTGGAGGGGGGAAAGTGCGTCCTATAGGGCGAAAAATACGGTATTTTTCTAGCCCTATTATTTTAAAGACCTATCATACCCATCTCTTTTTCTAAGCTAAATAACCACAAATGCTTTCAGCTTTTCCTCACGGGGACTGTGGGTTTTCCACTCATCCCCTCAATTTTGGGCCGCATCTGCACTGTACATTTAAAGGAGTATTGTACCACTTTGGACTATTGTGGCTTCCCCCAAAGAATCCTGGGAACTGGAGTTTCCCCCTCATTCCCCTCACAGAGGTACAATATCCAAAGTTCCCTAGGAAAAGACACTCATCCACTCTGGAAACTGGCAGTCTCTTAACAACTCTTGACATTCTTGTTGCAAACTGTTTTGATCTTTTCTAGCATATAGCAGTATGCATTTTTATAAATCTGCAAATCCGCTCGTGGATGGGGCAACACTCCCCTTGAAAATGCAGGTTCCCAGTCTTGGGATTTTACTGGATTCGGCCCCGAGCCTGGATGCCCAGATTTATGTGGTAGCCAAAACTGCATTTGCACAGTTAAATCTCGTGTGCCAGCTGTGCCCATTCCTGGAGAATTCTCATCTAGTTTAGTTACATCTCATTTGGATTACTGTAACATGCTCTATGTAGGGCTTTCTTTGAAGTGCTTGAAAACTCCAACAAACAAAGAGCTGCAGGCAAACTCTTGACTGGGGCTGGTTGTAAAGAGCCTATTACTCCCTTTTTTCGACAGCTCCACTGGCTGTTTCTGGGCTCAATTCAAAGTGTTGGTTATGACCTATAGAGCGTTATACAGCTTATGCCCAGGCTCTCTGAAGGACCATATTCTGCCACACAAACCTGCCCAGGCTCCGAGATCTTTGGGGGAGGCCCTTCTCTCAGCGCTGCCACCCTCACAGGCACATTTGGTGGGAATGTGGAAGAAGGCCTTCCAGGTGTGGGGACTTGCTTCCTAGTGAAGCTAGGCTGGCTCCCTCCTTGTTATCCTTCTGCCAGCAGGTGAAAACAATGTTTTATTCTAGTAGGCTTTAGGGAACTGACTTTTTTTGTTTTTTAAAGGAAAGGGCTTCTATTAGTGCTGTGCTATTTTTACTATCTGTGTTTTAATAAGTTGTTTTTGTATTAATTCTATTATCATTTAATTACTTTTCAACTTTTATCTGTGTTGTTTCAATTTGTGTAAGCCACCACTGAGGCCTGGAAAAGTTGGAATATGAATATAATAATATCCTGAGTGGCCCCAAACTTGGGAGTTAGAAGTTGCTTCCACACATCACTCCTTAAAAATAAAAAGGAAATGGAAATGCTAAGCGGGACAGGAATGGTGACACTTTCTCCTACCCGAGACCCCGCACAGGGGAAATAGAGCCCACATTCAGAACATATTGTGCAAGAAGGTACTTTTTAATCGCTTCAAGCGGTCTTAACTGCACAGCAGCCAAAATGAGAGAAGGAAAAGGGAGAATTTCAACCATGCAGGGGGGAAATGTGTTGTCTCCATAAGGTTCTTGAAATGAAGCCCCTGCTATATAAAACTTCACATTCCTGCCACACCAGCTCCCCAGATCCAAAAAATAACCTGGGGCTGCTATGAGGTTAAAAGCAACCCCCCCCCATGGCAAACCTGT